TATACTTGATATAGCTGTAACTTTTATACTTGTTGATGAAATGCTTTGATACTCAAAATATGTAGATATAATAATAGTGTTGACAAAATGACACGGTCATCATGGACATGCATGCACGTGCGCGCGCGTGTAATACGTAAAATGACAGATATACTTAATATAGCCGAATTTTTTTTCCATCTTTTGATGAAATTTGAATATAAAGATGTATTAAACGTGAAGACAAGTTGACATGGTAATTTTGAACATGCATGCCCCTGCGCGCGCGTGTAATGCGTAAAAAACCAATATACTTGATTGCCTTATTTAATGAAGCTTACAGGGAATAAGACACCAAAAGGAAGTTGGGGAGCGTTTGGGGAACATCTGTAACGATCCCCGTTACAATTAATACTAGTTCTCAATAATACTCAAGAAAAAAAATCAGTGCCAAGTTTACTTGAATATATTCTGTTTCTCTGTGTATTAAGTATTAGTCGCGATCATTTCCTGTGTATAGGGATTAGCAGAGCAAGAGCAGGAAAAGGCATGCCCTAGGGGTTTCACACCTGTCCTAGAGTACCTGTGGTAAATTTCTCTGCATGTGTAAGGCATTGTCTAGCCATACAACACACCAGTCCCTTCAACGTTTCATTATTTCTTCATTTTCAAATGTAACTACAACCATGAAAGTTACGCGAGTCAATATATACTTTTTCTTTACCCTGAGTGTTTGTTAAAAGGAAAAAGATCAATCATACTTTTAAAACAAATTAATAGAGTTTAAATGAAATAAAATAGATCAAATCAAATTATGTTTTATTACTTTTTTTAAAATGCCGACGGGCTTGGTATTTATGTTTCTGTTTAATATATATGTACATGTACATGTGAATGTATTATGCAAGTAGAATGTAAAATAAAAAAAAAAAACCGTACAGAACGTTACGGCACGTGCAACGTTTTTCCTTCGGTCAGTTTATTGATTTATCGAGTCCATCGATTAAAACAAAATATTCCTGATAGAATTTCAATGAAATGAATTGCTTCTGGATTATTTTTTTCCAGTTTCAATATGTCGTTTCTGTGAACAGATAATATACTGTAGCCGATTTATCAGTTTATTGTCCAGTTGTGGACTTTGACTAATTCTACGATCAAGTTTCTGAAAAACACCGAAATAGTGACAGCCACAGACACTATTTAAGGTCTTCCGTTTAAATAGCACGATTAAAGACAAAAATATCTACCGAAATAAGATATAATAACATATTTTGGTGACATGTGGTAGGTACATGTATATGATATTTTAGGCCCGATATCCAAGAGGGGTCCAGTGTTAACAAATGGAAGTGACTTACCTTCTCTATTTCATAATACCGCGGGTATGATTTTTTAATAAAACGTTAATTCTACGTTATTTTTATGGATTTTTCATATGGAATACATTGTAAATGTGTACTAGAAGATTAATTTATGGAAAAAGACGAATAAAATATTCTTGGACCCCGGGGTGTATATTGGGGGGAGGGGGGGGGGGGTCCTGTCCACAAGCACCTGTGCAGCATTCAAGCTTAAAAGACCATTCAAACAATACAAATCAGGAACAGTGCAAATCTTTTGAAATCAGAGGTAGAATCAAGTGCCATGGATCTGTCATGTTGTAAATTTTGAACTTACCGGTTGTCAGTATTTACTGCCACCCGGTAAATTCAAAATTTATAGCATGAGAGATCCTTTTCATGCTAGCACTTACCCCGACACGGGACCTTATACGGTCTCATCCAAAGGACCGATCTCCATGTTTTACTTCTTATCCAAACTGGGCATAAAACATTCTCAATGAATTTTTTAATCATTATGTTGAACCTAACAAATTATTCCGACTCGCTGTATGATCTGAAAAAACATTGCAGAACTTATCCATTCAGAAACTCACAGACTGGGATTGCTTTTAACCAGTGTGTGTTATGGCCTTGATGCAAGGTCATTTGGTCGAGTCAAGGTCACTGACAGAGAAACTGTAATTTCGCGACCGTATTTGTACTAGTGAAACATTGCTGGTATCATGCAGAGTGTGACATGGCCTTGACTCAAGTTCAAGGTCACTAAGGATAAGATGTTTTGACTGTATGTATGGACTAAAAGAACATGACGTGTCACTGTGAACTTTTCAAATCGGTAACACACAGATTGGGTTTTATGATGAGAGTGTGTCATGGTTTGACGCAAGGCATTTGGAATGTTCAAGGTCACGTACATTCCTTTACAGTTTTTCCTAGCGAAATATTGTAAGTTGCTTCCCCTTACAAGATTGCTTACATGTATAACTTTAGAATGTGGCATGACCTTGACTCAAGGTCACTTCTTCCTTCCGCAGCTCCAACGGAAGACCTATTCGTTGCTTTGCAACGAGCTCGCTCTAGTTATATTACAGTCCATTCTGGTACTCAATTAAATCTTCCCTGGTGTAAATGTTGAAATTCATGTGACATTTCTTGTCCCTTACAAAGCTTTTATAATATTTTATCCCACGTTTCTGATAGATTCCCATCTTCATAATAGATGATTCTAGGTTTGTATCGCAGAAAAGACCACCAGCCAGTATTTTCTATAAAATACTTAAACACACATAAATAGACATGTTTACAATAATAAATATTTTATACGTGAATGAAGCACATACCAATTGCAATGTTTTCGTTTACTTCCTGAATGCCACCACCTGATTGCATATGAATTATCGGAGGAAAGTTTGAGGCAATCGTATTACCTGTATAAATGAAAGTCAAGATGCTATATATATATATATATATATATATATATATATATATATATATATATATATATATATATATATATATATATATATATAAATATATATATATATATATATATATATATATATATATATATATATATATATATATATATATATATATATATATATATATGATTAATAAATAATAATCTATATCCAGAACCATTATACAGTTGTAATTATAATACATGTTTATGCGCATCTGGTGCATCAAAATTGGTACCGTATATGATTTATATTATGACCCCTGGGTCGAGGCCTCTGCTGGTGGACTGTTAGTCCCCGAGGGTCTCTACAGCCCAGTAACCTAGTACTTCGGTACTAGCTTAAAAATACGGATACATATTTAAATCCTGTGGTAATATTTAGAATTTTATTTCAAAAATAAGGATTATCTCCCTCTTGCATAGCTCTGATCCTTCAAGGTATTTGGCTCCATTTTTTGGCATCTTTTTCTGCTCTTTCAAATCTTTTTTATTGAAATATTTTGGATTTCCAACGTTTCGGTTTGAGCATCACTGAAGAGACATAATTTGTCGAAATGCGCATCTGGTGCATCAAAATTGGTACCGTATATGATTTGTATGTTTACAAAATACATTTATTGTATACACGAAATTTAGTTTTTTTCCTGATAAAGCATTTCTTATGCAATTTTATTCAGTGTAATGTACAAGGCATTGTCAGTTAAAGAGAATAAAAATATTAAGAAGTTACCATAGATTACGAGGAGGGCAGCAAATGTTTTTATATTCAATTTCTTCATATTGTATCATTCAGATCACGATGTCCACTTAAAAAAAAATCTGTATGAAAAGAAGTTTATACATGTATACATATCAAAGTGAACGCACAGACACATGCACAGAAATTAGGCGTAAAATGTGTATAATGTAAGACATTAAGGAATAGAATTGAATGTTTATTTTAATGAAAGAATTGATTGATCTTCATCAAAAACAAAATGAAAGAAATGAAATTGATTATCAAGATCATGACTATCATAATTCCAATCACACTTTTTTTCGTTATAAGATTCGGCATATCTACAGTGATCATACTTAAGAAGAGGTTTCCATATGGCTGTTTTTTGGCCCATGTTTTTTTTTGAGAAAAATGAAATTGGATTGTCGTCAAGTTTAAACTTATTTTCATTATGTTCAACATGTCTAATTTTGTACTGTTTATTTTTTGCGAGATAATATTGGAATAAAAGATGAAAATTTAGTACCCTCAACCGCATTAATATTGAGTATATTGGAAAATGTTGGAGGGTTATGTTGTTTAACCTTCTAGTACACTACGTGTTGCATTGAGAACCAAAACCATATTTTGATAATTGATTACTTATATGTACAGGAAGATTATACTGGAATATGGTTGTGGTTCTCAATGCAAACGCACTAAGACACTAATGACTTTGCTAATTTTGCAATTTGTTGAGTTGTTGTTAATTTATTGAAACATCAAAGTCATCAATACATATTCATGACATTGTCAAATTAATCAAGCAGATTAATTATACCCCTCCGAAGGAGAGGGGGTAAACAGTTTTACCCTTGTGTATCTGTCTGTCTGTCAGTCCGACTAGCTGTGTGTCTGTCCGTAACAAATTTTCGTCGCAGTTTTCTCGGCAACTACTCATAATAGATGCTTGATGCTTTTAGTACACTCTTTGTTTAGGCATGTCATATGGTGGGATTCATTTTTGTGTGAATCCAATGTCAACTTCCTCTTTAACTGTGCGTCTGTCTGTACCAAATTTCAGTTGCGTATTCTCGGCAAATAGTCATTTAAAGTAATTTCCCAATAGAATGAAGATTATCAAATCACTTTAAGTAAAAATAATCTATTAATTAGGAACAATTGATTCGTTATCTTACAAAATGAGGCAGCTCTCACATCATGGCCTGCACCCAGCTTGGCGGAAACGCGGGAAGAGAGAGAGATAAATGGGCTCCCGATCTAAATTATAATAAAAAACACCCCCAAATACACTACATTCCCCCATTTTGTGGAGGAATGTCCCAATTCCGACAAGGTGGAGGTCATTTACATTATATAATTATAGTACACTTTTACACAAAATACAGTGATAATTAACCTCCTGCGATGTACAATGCAAATCGCTTACATCATATAAAACTCACAATAAATCTTTTTAACATTAACTGTCCAAATTATGTTTTGCTTAACAAACTTAAATAGTTCAACACAAATCCCAGTTCTTCCGGACTATCTGCTTCTGTGTTTGCGAACGCGCCAACGTTAACATGGATCCTCCCTGAACTTCTGGAACACAGAACACCATCTGACATCTGAATCAGGACACCAAGAATCAACTTAAAAATAATGGCAATCAGTCACCTCATTAGCCCCGCTCAAAGAACAAGGGGCATGAATCTTCTAATTAGTCTTGTGGAACCAGTTTCCCCAGCCTTTCACAGTGACATCTTGTGGTTTTGAGCCTCTTTTGCCCCTGGCCTGCAGAGGCCTGGGGTTTGTTCAGCTGCTCCGACTTGTTCCTATTGCTCCAAGTCTGACCACCTTCATTTGAAGAAGTTGAGGACTCAGACTTGAATCTTTCTGGACACTCACAACGGAAATGCCCAGGCTAAAGGCATTTGAAGCATTGACCTGACCGTCGTCGACGCTTGCCTGGCCTGGGGGAAAAAAACCATGCTTGCTTTGAGAGGTCTTTTGCTTATTACTGTGTACTGACTCATTATGAGAACTTAGCTTGGACTTCAGCAAGTTCTGGCTGCTGCAGGTGTTATGGGATGTCTTGTATGGAGACTTTGACCGCTCTGCACCTGACAACTGACTGTCTAACGAGACGAGACAGAGCGCACCCCTATGTGAGGAGGGGTAACGGCTTGGCGGCTTATCTGATAAGTCTTTACACGCCAAACAGCCTCATCTCAACTAACAGGGGGAGTGTCCAACAGTCTCCTACCGGCTCGTGCATCCTGACAGCCCATCGCAAACCACAGGACTGCCTGCTCCTGGAGCACTTGTCCCGGGACTCTCGCCCCTAGAGAACGTTGTACGGTCTCCATGACACGATCGCTCCACTGCTCTAAACTTTCCTCCGCCTGCTGGGTCATAGAGTTAAACTCAACCTGTGAAGCTATTTGGAGTGTGCCCTTCCCAAAAAGCTGCTCAAACCGGGACACTATTTCGCCAAAAGTCATACCCTCACCATGCGAGGAGAGAAGGTGAAAATATCTGAGTGCAGGCTCCTCTACCGAGATGCTAAGAGCTAACAGACTGTCATCATCGTTTCACCCATAATACCTAGCCAAAGTCCTAAACTTAGCATAGAACAAACCCCACTCTAAGCTACCCGTGTACCTTAGACTCTTAGCCTTTGCTGGGATATTACGCCCAAACCTTAACGAGTCACTATAAGATGACCCCAAGAGTTTTCCAGGAGTTCCTAGAGAAGTATTTTCCCTACCGCATAGAGGCACACCTAATACATTACTCTCTTTTGGCTCAAGCTCCACAGCTGGACTTTCCATACTGACTTTCACAGCCCCAATTCCTGTCTGACCCTTAAGATACATCTGCCCCGATGTAGAACATGAGTGGCTCCGAGTCCGGGGGGATTCCCTACTTGCATATGCATATGCCTCCTGGGGCATAGAGTAATCTGACATACATGGGCGTGATGGACCTAGGATACTATAATCGGGCTCCACCCAGGACACTGCCCCCTTACTGTTGTGTGACTGTGTCCTAACCCTGTTGATGCCTGAAGCATGACTAACCCCACTCCTCTGACCAACACTTTGACTGGGAGAAATTACTGGGTTACCGCCATAACCATCTGAAAAGGAGACCCTACACTGTCCCTTTTCACTGCTCCGCTCAGATTGACCCCCATGTGAGAAAACTACACTAGTGTTGGTACATGTAACCTGAGTGTTGCTGGGTACACTAGTCACGTAAGTGAAGAGACCTGGCCCAGGATTCCCTGTGGGGCTACTCAAGGGGGTTGTATTGTGCCTGTTCACTGCAGTACTATGGCTATCCTCCCTAAAACTATATTCCAGGGAGTGGCTACCCCCTGAGGACTCCGACTTCCCTACAAGAATCTGGGTCAACTTGGATAATTGGGTCTGTACTTCCATTAACCAGGTCAGGACCTGATCATTGCTCGGTACAGGCCAAGAGCTTTGATGTGGTTCACCCCCAGTTGTCTCCATGCCAGTGGATGTATTTATAACAGGCCTATCACTACTCCCCAGGGTTAGGGACATATCTACCTCCCCACATTTAGTACTGTTCTGATTGTTTTACTCCCCTCTAATGCCTATGGTACTAAACACTGGTGGCCTAAATGGAGTTAGTCCAGAAAGTTGGTCTGCCCTGTCAGGTTGAGAACCACCCCATGCATTACCATCCTGTCCCTGGGCCCCTGCCAAACCACCCGGCCTAGCTACCTTGCCCCCCAGGACACCCATGCCACTCATGCGCTCGGGACTCTCCTTACCTCGACCAAATAACCTTTTCTTTTCACTCATAACTCCTATTTGGGACAACTGACAGCAGATTAAAGTATGGGTTGACCTACTGCCCTAGCACAAAAAAATCACAACTCAACAGAAAAATCAATTCACATAAATACATATTCAAATCACTGAATTCTTGCAAATTTCATTACTTATACCTGATTCTATTCCGCCGACATAAAATTAGAACATATTCAACTGCACGTGGCCAGATCGCACGGTGTCCCCTAGGCACCGCTTCGGTCTCGTAAGACCGTCAGAAATCCTACCGGCGACGCCAATAAAGTGATTTTCCAATAGAATGAAGATTATCAAATCACTTTAAGTAAAAATGATTTTTTAATTAGAAACAATTGATTCGTTATCTTACAAAATGAGGCAGCTCTCACATCATGGCCTGCACCCATCTTGGCGGAAACGCGGGAAGAGAGAGAGAGATAAATGGGCACCCGAGCCCGATCTTAATTATAATATAAAAACACCCCCAAATACACTACACATTGCAGATGCTTGAAATTTTAGCACAATCTTTGTATAGGCATGTCATATAATGGGATTCATGAGAGACTATTAGTGCTGGGGGTATTGCTGGTGAACATTGGCTTACAGACTTCTTGCTTTATAAGTATACTGTGCGTTATGATGTCAAACATGAAAGAGAAAGAGCAAGGGCCACTTAGGGCTTTTTTGGCCCTGTGAGTTTCTGAAAAATGGAAACTGCTCAGTTTTGGTTGACAATGCAGTATTTATCACTTGACCCCTTGTTGATTGTGTATCTATTGAACATGACGTAATTTTCTCCATAATCAATGCATTATGACGTCATGAAATGTGTCATTTTTACCATATTCTGTAAATTCCTTTAAAAATGGCCAACAGTTGGAGTATTTTTCAATATTTCATATAGAGCACAACCTCTGATCCAAAATATTCAATTACATAATGAAAGGTCTGTTTCTTAAGATCATAAAACAAGTTTTAATTTTTTGATCGAGAGCTGTAACATAGCATTTTCACAAAGCCTGTTTTTCAATACCTGAATTCTCAAAGAGAAATTTTGTTATAGGGAATGAGAGCGCTGTCTCTACTTCAGTTTGATATATGAAATGGGATAGAAGGTGATAGTCAATTAATTGATACAAGAACAGGGAAATTTTATACATAAAGTGAACCAAGCTCTTTATCATTTTTTTTTTATAACATGCCTGTGTCTGTCTGTGAGGAATACCACAACTTTGACATTAGAGACGGTAGTTGCAATATGTATAGATCAAGCTCAGACTTATTGTTTCACACTATAAACAAAACATTTGTTTAATGAAAATCTAGGTCAGTTTCTTGATTTGGGTATGTTGCCGATTTAACGTAAGTCTTTTTTCTGTTACCAAAACCAAATGCCATCAGTAACCGGCTCTTTTAAACTTCATTTGAATTTGAATTTTAAAAGATGTTGTTGATGATGTAGTTTGTACCTCGATCAGTCTAAAAGCTATTGCTCATATGACCAATGTTCTTATCAATGTTTGAGTCAGTTGTAGTTTGGAAAAAAAGAATTGCTGAAAGTCCCAACCATAACCTGTTTATCTCTCCTTGGTGGTGAATTCGCGAGAAAGAAATATTTTCTGTACATTTTACACCTGGATATTGAAGATAAATGTGCAATCCAACGTGTATCTTTAGTGTTGCAAAGACTTTTGTAATCTGCGACTGTAGGAGCATCTATGATGTCCGGGGAGATTTTCAGAATGGTCATCTCTGGGACACAGAAGTAACGTACTTAAATGAAGATATTCTGACACTCTCTACATTTTGTAGAAGAGTACGTAGTTGATGGAGTTATTGAGTCGGTATATAATTTAGCCAAACAAAGCAATGGTAGAAAAAAGTTGCTTCCAAATTAAACAAACAGAATAAAAATCAGAATCTTAATATAAACTAAGATAATGCTGGTCTGTTGATTTGTTTGTTTGTTTGTATGTTGTTTAACGCCCCTCTCGAGAATTTTTCACTCATGTGGAGACGCCAGCACTTGCCGGTGGAGAGCTGCAAACTTTGTCCCATACTCGGCACTTACGGCCATTGAGCAGTGAAGGAACTTTTTCGTGCCAGCACCTACTGCGACATGGGACCTCGGTTTATGCGGTCTCATCCGAAGGACCGGTCTCCACGTCACACAGTGGGATTCGAACCCGCGACGTAAGGATTAACTCCTTACTCCGCGACTCTAGAGCAGACGCTCTAACCACTGCGCCACAAGGACGACTGGTCTGTTGAGAACAAGAATTCAATCATTCAATCATATCTTCATGAGATACCTGTAGATACTAGTATCTTTCAATGACACTTGCCATTTACCCCCAGTCATTGATTATTATTGACAGTGCAAAGTACTATCAAGAACTATTGTTTGATGTACATAATTTGATACCTGCGGTTTAAAAAAAACATTTAGAAGATACGTTCCACACGAAAATGGGCACAGTCATGGATTCAAAGGATATGGCTTAAGAATATAAAAAAATGTATATAAAAATGAAGTTTGATAATAGACACATCTTGCATCCCATTTCTATAAATAAAATATAATATAAAACAAGTGTATGGGAATTGCTATTTTATATCATTAAATCTTTAAACATTATATACATGTTAATAATGTATAACTGTCTGTTTATTATAGTGCATGGAATACACTTTCAGAATCAATTCTGAATGCACAATGAATTTTTATTCCAAATATCCCATTAGCCATGCAAAACAATTTAAGTGATTTTTACACTTTTTATGTGTCTATCTAAATCAAATACTTTGAAATCGATGTGCTTACTTATGTTTCGTAGAGGTCTTTTTTCTACTTGTAAACGCATGTAGGAGTTGCAAGCAAAGTTGTTGTTTTAATAATACGTCACAGTATATAATTTTTCCTAATATTGAAAGCTTTTGTTTTCATAACCGATTACTTTTCATATCTTTTTATGTTATTATAAATAGCAAATATATCGAACAAAAAAGCGTACACAATTTCCATCAAATTTTTATGGCTAAATTACAGAAATTTTCTTTTCCAAAAAATGTTAAATCAATTAGCCTTTTGTGTTACTTCAGTCCTCTTCTATGTTCCCTGATGATATACTGTTAATCTGTCTTTGGGTTTTCACAATAAATAGTCTACTACATGTAATAAATTGTCATAACCCTCTTAAAAGCTCTTAGAGGGATCTTTTAGATACCCCTTGGTCACATGACTAATATACGTTGGTTTTGCAAATAAATTATAAAATATAACAGAGGTAACATTATTAGACATCACTAAACAAATTAATTTAAAATTCACTATGGGTAAAAAAACGGCCTTATGGAAACCTGTCTTTTGAGGCACCAATCAAATACATATAACACAATCATGTTTACAACATTGACAAAATTCTCTGTTAACTATTTTGTAATATTACATCGAAAAGCAAGTTACAACAAAGTATCTGTTTGTAAGGATCAGTATTTTATTAAAATTGCATTTTAAAGGAAAGGAAATAAATTTAATTCTACAAGTGGTAATCCAACTTATACTAATTGTTCTTTTCCTAAAGAGGGCATTTTTTTTTCAAAATTATAAGCCAGATTTGAATATTTTTCTAAACAAACAGATTGAATTTGATATACCATACCTATACTGGATT